GATCTATCCCTGGATCTCCATGCCTATAGGTACTACAATTCAATGTTTGTTTTTAAATCCTGAAATTGTTTTGTGATCAGTACAGGCTACTTTGTATTTTCACATGTTGATCACATTAATTTATTATGTACAAACATTTATAATTTGCCACTATTTTCTCCTTTTGGCCCTCATTTAAAAAAATACACCAAGAATCCCAAAAGACCCTGAAAGCATCAGATGCCTTTCTCAACCCTGAGAGCTTCTCCGCCCCATCTCTGCAGAGTTGGTTCATTGGCGTGTTAACATCAGAAAGGTCCTCGCAGTAGGGAACTGAAGTCACCTTTCCCACTAGTTCCATGGTAGTCTTGAGTCGGATCTGCCCAGAGCAGAGCTTCGCCTTTTGGCCCCCACATGCCTTTCAAGGACCCCACCTCCACCTCACACTCCCAGCTGTGAGACAGGCAGGCAAAGGCACAGGAGAAGCCCCAACCTTGGCAGCACGTGTGGCACCTCTGAGCTCTCACTGAAACATGCCCCATTTGCCGCAAAGGCTTGGGCAAGCATGGGATAAGAGGGTGGTGCTAAACCTAGACACTCATTCCAATATGAGGGACAGAGACTCTGGGTATCAGCAAATAGTGACCACTGCATGTGGTCCAGATTTCCAGAGATTCTAACTCTGGGCATCTGAGGTAGAGCCCTCCACCCCCATCATTACTACCACCTCAAGGACCACTGAGAAACTCTGGTTCAATCCAGTCCCTTAGGGCATCTGTCCTACCCACACACCTCCTTCCCCACACCCCCAGATATGCAGCTGGATGGTTCACACATCAGGCAGCCAGAACACCTGGTGCAGCCCTCGCCACCTCGGCGCCTACTGTGGTTGGATTTATTACATGCCCACATTGCATCCTATTGTGCTCTGGGAATGAGAGCTTCCACAGATGTGATCGGACTGGGCTCCAAGAGATCTGGGGACTGAGAGAAACTTTCTTCCTCCCCTGCCAGGATACATCTCCTAGAAGGGCCCAGCCTTTTCCTCTCGAGAAGAAAGCTCCAAGCCTCACAGAGAACAGGACTGAGCCTAAGCAACCATTTCCTTCTCACCCTCCCAGGATTCAGCGCCATCCTCACTGAGTCCGTCGGAGGAGGCCCACCCCTACAAGCCTCAGATGCACTAATGAAAAACACCAAGGGCAGGCACTAATGTTCAGGGAGGAGCTGCCATATGCAATGCCCAAGAGCCAGGAGCAGGCAAGACTAAGATGCTGCCTGGTCGATCCCTAAGGTGCAGGCAGAGGAGGGGACAAAGGCAGGCAAAAGCAGAGTCACTGCTACCTTCTGAGGTGCCTTTGTGCACATGTGAAAAGCAAAATCTCTGGGCAGAGCAGTCCCCCACTAGGGCACCTGGCTTGGCAGGTGGCAGAGAGGCTGGATTTTAGCCACCACTTGCCCTGGATGCCCTTGTGCAGTAAACCACTGGAACAACTGTGATAGCGCTACTCAGAGAGAGCAGCAGGGGGAGGAGACAGAAAGGAAGAAGAAAAGCTATCACAGCCATTCAAGGCCCATCACAACTGCCCCCTACCCCCTTCTCACTGGGTCCTCACAGAAGGCCCATCCAGACTGGTCTTCAGATCTATTCCCTCATGGGCCCTCAGCACTCCTCCCAGCCAGTGGCAGGTCACCTTTCTGTAGCCACATCTCCCCTGCCCCAAAACTGTATAAGTCTGTCTAATTTTCCACAGACACTTGGCACCGGGCAGAATGCGGTAGGCACTCACTGTATACATACTGACTGTGACTGAAATCCATGGGATGAGACTGAAAGGACTCTCGAGTCTGGCCCCAGTTTGACTACCAGTGACCCCTGGGGTAACCTGGGGAAAGGACCCCATCTTCCACCTCAGCTATGAGGGGCAGTGGATGGATGAATAATCTCCAAGGGTTCTGCCGGCATGGAAGACTAATCTTATGAGATTCAGAGCTCCTGGCTCCTACCTGCCAGGCTTTCCCTCCTGGTACCTCAGTGCCCAGCACAGTACTTGGCCCAGACTAGGCACAATGTAGTATATGGGTTGCCCCAGTCTCTATGTGTTGGCACCTGAGCATTTATTTAACTTGGTGTTTTATTTAGCAAACCACAGACATCAAACTTGACCAACTCAAGCAAAAAGCCCTACAGGGAAAGACCTGCTATGGGGTTTCTCATGCAACCAATGGGAAGACTGAAGAACCAGGCTTGGAAAACAGGCACTCAAGTGCGCACATGTGCGCGCGTGTGTGTGTGTAACCACAGATGAAGGCAGGTGCAGGGAAGATCTAGGTCAGTATGCCCTCTGGCCCCTGGCCACCTCTTCCACCACTGGTCACTGCCCAGCCCTAACCAGTTGCTGCCACGACACAAATGTACTCTGAACTGCCACTAGTTCGCAGTCTAAGTCCCAACAGGGGTGTGTGACTGTCACATGCCTGTACCCTAACTGCCATGAAAGGGGAAGGAGGCGATCATGCATCCAAATTCCTCAATGGGACGGCTCTTCAGGTGCAAGGCAGCCAAAAATTGACAAATGGCCACTCTGATTACCCCATTCCATGAACCAAACAGATTCTTTCCTCCAGGAACTTAGAAAAGGAGCTATAATGTATTGAATAGTGGCTCCCCAAAAGATATATCAACCTAGAACCTCAAACTGTGAACCGATTTGGAATAAAGGTCTTTGAAGCTGGAACTAAAGTAAGGATTTCAAGATGAAATCATTCTGGATTGGGGTAGATCCTAAATCCAATCACAGGTGTCCTTACAGGAGATAGAAAAGAAGACACAGAAACACAGGAGAAAGAGGCAGAGATTGAAGTGGTGCAATTACAAGCTAAGGAATTCCAAGCAGTGCCAGGAGTGACCAGAAGCCAGGAGAGGCACAGAACAGAGTCTCCCTCAGAATCTCCAAAAAAGAGCCCACCTGCTGACACTTTGATTTCAGAATTCTGACTTCCTGAACTGTGAGAGAATAAATTTCTCTGGTTTTAAGGTCCCTAGTTTGTGGTAATTTATTATGGCAGTCAGGAAAATAATACAGAGGCCCAGGGATAACATCAAGTTGAAGCTAGTCAGGGCTGCAGGAAGCTGAAGCAGGGAGAAAAACAGGCAGGCAGAACTGGGGACCCCTATCTACTACTGCAGGCTTACTCAAATGCCAGAAACCCGTGGGTTTCTTGAGATGTCCAGTAGCACCCAATTAATTTCCCTTCTTGCTTGAGCTGGCTAAAGCCACTTTTTATAACTTCTAACACAACAACAGCCTTTATATATGCTTACAGCCTCCCCCACCCCCAGGTAGGGGGACATGTGGCGTGCAGCAAGAGAAAGGAGGATTGAGTAGAGCGTCCCCCCACTCCCAGCAAAAAGACAGGCACTGGTCAGCCAGCCAAGGTGGGCTCTGCCTCCAGAGAGGGCCCCTCCAGAAAGGGGACAGCGTCCTAGTCAGCTCTGAGGACAGCAGGCCAGGTAAAGGACTGAGGCCACCACCCAGATATCATGGGGAGGGGGATTAAACTTTGCTAAAAGGTGTTCCTTTTGTTTTCCACCAGGCCACCATAACTGGGTGCTATTCTTCAGTGACGGTTTTCTCCTAAGTACCAAGCTGGAGGTGTCTGGGCCTCTACTGCTCCAGGTGGAGCACTGGTGACCAGAGAAAAGCCACTCCTGACAAGTAGAATGAAAACCTGCTACAACAGGAGCCCCACTAAGGGAAAAAGAGGAGGGGTGCTTGCTACCCTCTCTCCCCAGCCAGGAAAGCCCTGTCCCCTTGTTAGCTCCCACCGGAAGGGGCCTCACAGGATGTAAGCACGGAGATGCAGGGCAAAAGGGAGGTGCAGGTTGGGGAGGACTCCCTGAGGGAAGGAGATTTCCACAGCGTTGGGGTTTGTGGGGAGGTGTTGGGGAGGGTCAGCCAAAGCTCCATCCAACTTGAGAAATCAGCCTGTTCCTTTACTCTCAGCACTGTTCCCCCGCCGCTGCCCCCCACCGCACGGCCCCCCCTCCCCCCCCAGCCTGGTGAAGGTGAGCAGGGCCATTCCCCAGTCTATTTGGACAGGGTTTTCGCCGGGTTGTAAGGGCGATGCATTTCATAACCATTCATCTGGCGCTCCGCTACAAAATCACCGTGCCAAGTGTCCCACGAACATCTCACATTATCCTCAACAGGGTAGACCTTGTGCCCCAATTTGCAGATGAAGAAAGTGAAGTCAAATCACTTGACAAAGTCAAGCTACCACTAAGCAGCCCAAAAGAGGAAGGAACTCGGGATCCCAGCTGGCTCCAGGTTTCCGCTACTCGCTGCGCTGCTCTCACTTTCCTGTGCCCCGCCTCCCCATCTTACCCTAGCGAGGGGCACCCGGCCCGCCCCCGGAGGAGCGTGCCTCGGCGGCTAATCGTGGGCCACCCCCGCCTCCATTTTCGCTGCCTGGAGACGCCCTGGCTGGCTTAGTCTGAGACGGCTCCCCGGGCTGCGCGACACTGCCGATTGGCCCGCGGTAATTACGGGCACGCTCCGGGAGGGGGGAGGGGCAGGGGCGGCCCCCCGCGAGCATAAATTATGCAAATACCCGGGCGCCGCACGGGGCTGACCTGCCGCCTCGCTCCTTTCACGGGGGCTGCCTCCGGGGCGGAGGTGGCCAAGGAGGGGGGCGCCCATTGTTGTGCCGGGTACTTAAGGGGTCCTGAGGCCGGTCGTGTGCCACACTCGGTACTCACACGAGCTGATCTGATTGCCGGCGAGATCACTCGGGAGACCGGCTGGAGCGTGGTCCCTGCAGGCAAGTCGAGGAGGAGAGGCCAAGTTCCCGGTGCGCCCGTGCACCCTTCCAGGCCTTCGTGCTCGTGCCCGCAGCGGGCACACAGTAAGAACGGGCTGTTCGGAAAGTAAGTGCGCTCCGGCGGCCCTGCCCTCAACCCAGGCTTCCTGCCCTGTAAGTGCTCTCTAATCTGTCCGTCGATCCTGCCCGACGCAGCGATGCCAGCCCCTCTGGAGACCTGCCTCTCAGACCTTGATTGCCCCAGCAGCAGCAGCGACCTGTCCGGCTTCCTCACCGACGAGGAGGACTGTGCCAGGCTCCAACAGTCAGCTCCTGCCTCGGGGCCGCCTGTGCCGGCCCACAGGGGCGCACCCGCGATATCTGGGGCGTCCGATACTCCCCGGGCACAGGAAGAGGAGCAGGAGCGGCGGCGGCGCAGGGGTCGCGCACGGGTGCGCTCCGAGGCACTGCTGCACTCACTTCGCAGAAGCCGGCGTGTCAAGGCCAACGACCGCGAGCGCAACCGCATGCACAACTTGAACGCAGCGCTAGACGCACTGCGCAGCGTGCTGCCTTCCTTCCCCGACGACACCAAGCTCACCAAGATCGAGACGCTGCGCTTCGCATACAATTACATCTGGGCTCTGGCCGAGACTCTGCGCCTGGCTGACCAGGGGCTGCCCGGGGGTGGTGCCAGGGAGCGCCTCCTACCACCACAGTGCGCCCCCTGCCTGCCTGGGCCTCCAAGCCCCGCCAGCGATGCTGAGTCCTGGGGATCCGGTGCCGCCGCCTCCTCTCCACTCTCTGACCCCAGTAGCCCCGCCGCCTCCGAAGACTTCTCCTACGGTCTCGGCGACCCCCTTTTCTCCTTCCCCGGCCTGCCCAAAGACTTGCTCCAGACGACGCCCTGTTTCATCCCTTACCACTAAGCCCTTTTTGGACACTATTACCTCTCCCCTCCCCCTCGCAACAGACAGTAGTAGATGGTGCACCAACTGTGGCAACCGGACCCTCAGTCCAGGCCGGAGGGAGTTAGCGAGAGCTCTTAAAGGGGTGGGGGATACCTGAGCCGCTTACTAGGTCGCTGCACCCTCGCCATGGCTTCCCCTTGGTCTGTTTCTCCAGCCCTCGGCCCCAGGCCCCTCCTGCCCACCCCTAGACAGCCTTTCCTTTTGCACTTTCTGAACTCCACAAAATGGCCTTTGTGGCTGGCTCAGAGCTGACCCCAGCCACCACTTCAGTGTGATTTAGAAAAGGGACAGATCAGCCCCTGAAGACGAGGTGAAAAGTCAATTTTACAATTTGTAGAACTCTAATGAAGAAAAACGAGCATGAAAATTCGGTTTGAGCCGGCTGACAATACAATGAAAAGGCTTAAAAAGGAGAGACAAGGAGTGGGCTTCATGCATTATGGATCCCGACCCCCACCACTGTGGGCTTTGCTCTAGGAAGAACCCCAGACTCTTGCGTAGCTATTCAGGCACTGGGTTGGAGAGTACTTTAATTTATTCAAGATGCTTCATTCATCTGAAAATGTATTTTTGTACATAAAGAGTTTATTCTATTATAATGAGCTATCAAAGTTTACATTTTTGTACTGCAGATGTTTCATGTAAATAAAAACTAAGTCACCAAGTCTCTGGCCTAATGTTGGTGTCTCTCTGGGGCCTTTCTTCCCTTCCCCTGGCAGTTCAACCACTAATGTGAAACACTATCCCAACCCACTTTCAAACACTCCAGTCCTGTTTCAAAAACAATTTAAAATAAACTACACCTGACTTCCACCATGGAATGGATAAAGATAGACCAGGGAGTTTGATCTGCCATTCCCTTTCACCTTGTAAACACAAGGGAGATCTTGCAGGTTTCCCATAAGCCAATTAAGACTTTTTAGTGGGGAATTAGGCCCAGATACCCAGCTACCTGTAGAGGTAGGGGCGGTGGGAGGCCCATTCTTTTGAGGAACTCCACATCAGCTGGCTCTGTGTTTCAAAGAGAAGGGGATTAAAAAGATCAATACAGTATGACCACTGCCTAGGAAGTCCCAGTGACAGGTGGGCCTAGCCTGGGCAAGCATAAGGGTCCACTCTTGTAATAGCCTATTTAGAAGGGGAAATTGATTGGTAAACAATGCCTCCGAATTGTTGCCCATTGCGGCTGGGATCACCCTGGCTGAGAGGTGTGGGACAAATTACATTGGTGTGGTAGCCCTGGGTGAGGTGTGCAGCTGCCTAAAATTGTGAGTTAGGGTGGCTGCAACTCCTCTCACCCCCCGCCACATACACATGCTGTGCCCACAGAGGAGGTGGGGGTACCTATAGTGGGCTCAGTCCTGGCTTGCTCAGCCAGTCCTGGGGGCAACAGCCAAAGCTTTCATTTGCTGCCAGAGAAATCAGCCGCTCAAACTCAGCGGGGATTTTTCTGGCTTCAGTGTATTTCTCTGTTGTTTAACAATTAGCTAACAACACTGGCCAATAGTGGCTTTTGTTTTAAATTTCATAATGTGGATACTTGCAGTTCCAACTTGTCTATTCCCCCAGCTCACAAGTTACCCTACACTGGGACCAGAACATTTCACCCACTGGGTTGCCCCTTTTTGGGAATACAATTATTTAGTGGGAGGGGGTATACGTGAGTTTAGGAAAATAGTATTCTACAGTGTTAGAGAAATCAGATCCATTTAGGAGGGGAATAGAAGCAGAGAGCCAGAAGTAATGCCACTAACAGCATTTTCCCGTGTGGAAGTGCTTTCCTTCCTCCCACATGTGTCCCAATGAGTTGGAGCCACAGATGCATAGGCTGGGCCCCCAACAGGCATCACTAAGCCCAGCCATGGGCAAGGAGCCCTCTTTCAGATAAAAAAAGCTCCTTTTGGAAAGTTCTGGAAAGTTGGATACCTCTCTAACTGCCCTCAGAGCAGAGACAAAGAGTTACCCACAAAAGCTTTAGATGTTATGAGGGCTCAGAACAGAGTTGCTTCTGCTAAAAACTCCAAGGAAAAAGTTGTGTCTCTTGAATGACCCTGCCTGGGGCCCTGCTCTATTGTCTGACTCAGAATTAATTCACTCTACTAGCTTTGCATTTTCCTATAGCAAAGGACACAAATGGTCTGCATCAGATTTTCTGCTCTCGGTGCATAGGATGCTGGAGAAGTGACCATCTCCAGCTTTCTAAAGGACATAGGCCGGGTATGGGAGAAAGGCAGGTCCCCTATGGGGCCTCTGCTCAGCCACGATATAGGTGCACGTTTGGGCCAGAGGAAAAGAACAGCCCATTATATTTATCATTGTCCAAAATCTTTGGGGAAACCAGCAGCAAACACCGCAAATGCCCCTGCAGCTCATGGCTACAGTAGGAGCTTTGTCTCATACAACAGCACATAGCCAGCCCTGAAAACAGAAAATGTTGCCACCTTGGGACTGAAGAAGAACAAACCATATTCCAAACTCTGTTGCCAAAATAGGCTAATGTCTCAAGTGCACAGCACCTTCCATGTAAAGAAACATCTTTAACAACATGGATTGCTGAGGGCATTCACCCCTGCCAGTTAATACTGTTCTTCCAAGGATGCAAGTATGTATGTGCAGCTCTTGGAGCTCCCAAATAGAAGAAAAGAAGAAAGGCGATTAAAAATGCTTATCCTCAGCTCTTTCTTCCTGTAGCAAACTCCTGTTTGTCCACTGGCATCTGGGAAGGCAGACTGGGGGTAACTGGAGTATTCTAATCAATTACACAGCATAGAACTTCCCACTGACAGCGAAGTTTCACTTCCTCAACAGGGTCTTCACTGCAGAATTATCAGGCATTTAGGAAGGTTTATTTATTCTCTATCCTGATCTATTTGCTTCTGTCCTGGTGCACCATGTCTATTTTACAGCCTGCTCCCAAGCTTTTGAGAAACCAGGATGGGAAGACTGGGATAGCAGAGCACAATGAAGCATTTACTCAGCCTCTTATTTCTTTATTTAAATATATTGTATTGATTATGCTATTACAGTTGTCCTAATTTTCCCACTTTGTCCCCCTCTACCTGGTAACCCCTTCCCTCCAGCAATACCACCCCCTTAGTTAATGTCCATGGGTCATGCATATAAGCTCTTTGGCTTCTCTATTTTCTATACTGTTCTTAACATCTCCCTGTCTATTTTGTACCTACCAATTATGCTTCTTAATTTCTGCACCCATCCCCCCATTCTTCCTCTTCCCCCCCTCCAAGTTCATAGTCCTCCAAATGATCTCCATATCTATGATTCTGTTCCTGTTCTGGTTGTTTGCTTAGGTTGTTTTTTTTAGATTCAATTGTTGATAGTTGTGAATTTGTTGCCATTTTAATATTCATAGTTTTGACCTTCTTTTTCTTAAGTCCCTTATACATTTCACGTAATAATGAACTCCTTTAGCTTTACCTTGTCTGGGAAACTTTATCAGCCCTTCAATTCTAATTGACAGCTTTGTTGGACAGAGTAATCTAGGTTGTAGATCCTTATTTTTCATCACTTTGAATAGTTCTTTCGAGCCCCTTCTAACCTGCAGTTTCTTTTGAGAAATCAGCTGACAGTCTTATGGGAACTCCTTTGTAAATAACTCTCTGCTTTTCTCTTGCTGTTTTTGACATTCTCTCTTTATCTTTAACCCATGGCATTTTAATTATGATGTGTCTGGGTGTGGTCCTCTTTGGGTCCAACTTGTTTGGGACTCTGTGTGCTTCCTGAACTTATATGTCAATTTCCTTTGCCAAATTAGGGAAGTTTTCTTTCACTATTTCTTTCAAATAAGTTTTCAATTTCTTGCTCTTCCTCTTCTTCTTCTGGCACACCTATGATTCAGATGTTGGTATGTTTGGAGATGTCCCAGAGGCTCCTTATACTATCCTCGTTTTTTTTTTTTTAATTCTTTTTTTCTTCTTGCTGTTCTGGTTGAATGCTTATTTCTTCTTTATGTTCTAAATTGATGATTTGAATCCTGGCTTCCTCTCTTCCACTGGTGGTCTCCTCCACTGGTGGTAGGTTTTTCTTTATTTCACTTAGTGTAACCTTCATTTCTCCCTTTATGTTGTTGCTGTATTCAATGAGTTCTCTGAGCATCCTGATTACCAGTGTTTTGAACTCTGCATCTGATAGTTTGGCTATCTCCATTTTACTTAGTTCTTTTTCTGGAATTTTGTTCTGTTCATTCATTTGGGCCATATTTCTTTGTATCCTCAATTTGGCAACCTCCCTGTGTTTGTTTCTGTGTATTAGCTAGAGTTGCTTTGACTACCAGTCTTAGTAGCATGGCCTATGTAGAAAAGGCAACTGTAAATTGTGTGGGGCAGAGCCTTAGATAATTGCCAGGGTAGAGCAACCCACTTCACTGCTTTGTGGCTCTGTGACAGAGGGAGGAGTCTCAGACAGGGGACTTTGCTGCTGCCTGTCTTCTAGAGGTTTGCCTGGCACTTGCCCCATTCCCAGTCACTTCACTCACTCCCCGTATGCTGTTACCTTCCAGCTGTAGCTCTAGTGGTACATCCCAGAGTGGTTGGGTTTGCATATGTTCTAGGTTCATGCAGGCCCTTTAAACAGAGTCCCCTAAAAATCCAGCATTTTTTTCTGCCATCCCAACTCCCACTGGTTTTTACAGCCAGAAGTTATGGGGATTTATCTTCCTGGTGCTGGAACCCTGGGCTGTATGGTTTGGCCTGGGGCTGGGATCACTCTCTTCCAAGGTATCCCTCCCAATTTTTATCTACCACACATGAATGACCATTACACTGCTGCCACCGCCTCTCCATGACACACCTGTCTCAGCATTTCTCTACCCATCTCTATGACTCCGCCCCTCCCACCCATCTGGATGAATGTGGCTTCTTTAGAAACTTGGTTGTTGGACTTCCATACAGCTCAATTTTCTGATGGTTCTGGATGTTACTTGTTTTGAGATCTAGTCATAA